AATTTGTTTCCTATTCTGTATAATAAAGGAATTATTAAAGCACATGGCCTAAAAGGCAAAATTCAAGCTAATGGTACAGATTTTTTTTATTAAATTTTGCTCTAAACAAAGATTTCATGTATATGCTTATATGTTTAACTAACTTATTTTAATACTTAAAAAAAACTTACCTAATGTTATGTTGTGTCTTTTTATTCCAAAATTTAAAAATAAAAAGTTTACTTAAGTAGAATAAGATATTGAATGCCCCTCTCTTGTCAGTAGGTGAGCTCATGCCAGCTAATCTTATTTCTCATTTATCTTCCTCCTGAGGTGCCTGCGTGCACACACACACACACACACACACACACACACACATACACACACACACTATATTTATATGTTATATACACACATATAATATAATGCATGTATACATACACATGTCTCTACACTTATAATACATATGCATATACACACCTATACACATTTAGCATAAGTGTTACGTGTACATATATAATATATAACACACAACATATGTGTTTTATGTATAATATGTAATACACACATACATGTTTGTATATGTATATGGGAAATGAGACAAAGTCTTGCCCAGCTTTCTGGGGACTCACTATGGAAGACCTCATCTGGTCTTGAATTCATATCCATCAGCCTCCGCGTTATGAGTACTGGGATTATAGGCCCTGGGATAGTTTTAAAAACAAGTCAGTTTTTAGTTTGTCATAAAAATACTTTTTAAGATGAGGGCTCTTATCAGAATCAAACAAAGAAAGTAATAATTCCTTAACATTAAGATTGTGCGGGCGCAGATTCACATTACTGCCCATTTTGCCATAGTTGGTTTGTTTTGGTGACAGATGAAAGAGATTCTTTTATTGCATTTGGTCTCCAGGCTCACAGTTCTTCACCAGCTTTGTTTTCATGAAGATTGCTTGTTTGGCTGAGTCATTAGTTCTGTAGAATTGTCCACATGCTTACTTTCGCTGATGGTACACTGGTGTGTTGTCGTGCCTTCCCAGGATTGTGTAAGCTACACAGCTTTAGTTTGATGTCCTTGGCGATACTGCAATACTCTGGGTGGTAGTCTCCTTGCTGTGCTAGATCAGAAGACAGTTTCTTGTGGTGAGGGCGAATTCTAATTGGTCTTAGTAGTAAAAACCCACAGTAAATGCTGGAAAAGTAAAGGAGCCAGCTGCTAGAGAAACTTCTATCGAATCCTCAGACCTTTCCTCATGCGCCTTATTTTCCTGTCTCCACCTCCCTAGTGCTGGGATTAAAGGCATGAGATCCCAAGTGCTGGATCAAAGACGCGTGCCACCACTGCCTGGCTTCTATGGTTAACTAGTGGCTAGCTCCACCTTCTGATCTTCAGGCAAGCTTTATTTGTTATATCACAAACAAAGTATCACCACATCGTGTTCTCTTGATTTTAAGATTGATTCGTGGACTCTGGTGGTGGCAGCCAGTTAATCCGTTAGCAAGCTCCCTGTTAACACTGGCCAGGTGGCTGGGGCAGCATGCTGCTCTTGTTGTCTAGAGTGTCCGGCATCTTATCACCTGTTACAAACTGGTGGCATTTTGGAAGACGTCATTCCTTTTGCTGAAATCCTGGCTAATATGAAGAATGCCCCCTTTCATCACCATCTTCTGAATACAGTTTACTCAGGAAAGGTCAGATAGGCATTTGATCCCCTTATCAGCGTCATGTGTAGATCTGGAATCAGTCATTTCTCCAAAGAAATGGGGAGTAGTAGTTGTAAGCCACATTCTAGGTGCTGACTGACTTCATTGCTAATATATTACATGGACCCCCTTAAGTCAACAGCGCTATGAAATACTGTATTCCGTCAAAATTTTTCTTTTAACTTTTGAGATAGAGCTCAGGATGACCTTTACCTCAGTATGTAGCTATGGATAATCTTAAATGTCTACTCTTCTGTATTTGCCTCCTGAGTGCTAGGATTACAGGTATTAGGATTACAGGTATGCACTGCCATGCCCTGCTTTAAATGATGCCGAGACCAAACCCAAGGCTTTGAACACACTAGACCAGCAGTCCACTCCGGCCTCACCCCTTTCCTTCTTCCTTTTCTTCTCCTCTTTTTATTTTAAAGAGAAATTCACCAGGCACCTTACTTATATTTTCAATTCATATTTTAGCTTGGATAACTTAATATATTTAATTTTATATTCTCTTCTCTGATTACTTGTGCAATTACTTCACATTACTTGTACTTCCATTTGTTTTGTGCCTGTCTTTGAATGTACAATATCTCTGTGATGTAACAACAGTACCAATATTACTAATTGCATGGTTGCTAGAAATAGTTTAAATAATATAATTACCTAGTTGAATTTTTCATTTTAATGTACAGAAAATGCTAAAACTTAAGAGGAATTTCATTAAATACTACTTTTTATTTCATTTATACTTAATTAGAGAATCGTATAGAGGGGCCCTTCACTCCCCATCTTCTTTGGTTATTAAATGCATTAGAAGTATAGCTTGTATAGTTTATTGTGGAAATATTTCACTGTGTGCCTTCACTGTTTTGTTTTAAACAGGTAGTATAACTCCGACTGTGGAACTGAATGGGCTTGCTATGAAAAGGGGAGAGCCTGCCATCTACAGGCCGTTAGATCCAAAGCCATTTCCAAATTATAGAGCTAACTACAACTTCCGCGGCATGTACAATCAGAGGTTTGTATGCCTTCTTTGGTCTTGTTGCTTATTTACTTATTTTAGGCATATTGAAGAAGTTTCTGATATTTAAGACTATTTTCATTGTGAAAACAGATGACGATGGACATTTTGGGGATAAACCCGACTCACCAAGAATATTAGAAGTTAAAAACAGAACACAAACAAACCCCCGTAACGCCAGAAACCCTTTTTACTGGTACATTCATGCTGCATTTTCAGTGTGCACAGGTTGCAGGGCGACCTGCCATGTGATGGTCTCATCCTCTCAGCACACTACACTTAGTCTCTTTCCTGATTTGACTACACTATAGCTTTGAGTGTTTATCATTTACAGCAGTGTTTATTGGAGAGAGGATTTACTAAGTCTTTGCTGCATGGGGCACAGTCATGACAGTTGCAAGTTTATCTTACAAGCATGGTAGAAATCTCAAAATAAAAGTGAACTCTCTTGTAAAAGGCAAAACTCTTTATAGGGAAGGTGGAAAATCCCAAAAGATTTTTAAAAAAGAAAATATTTTGCCTTTTAGAACTAGTTACTCTTAATATTTTGATTTACTTTATTTTTAGCTAGGCAGTGGTGGCATATGCCTTTAATCACAGCACTTGGGAGGCAGAGGCAGGTGGATCTCTGTGAGTTCAAGGCCAGCCTGATCTGCAAAGCAAGTTCGAGGACAGCCAGAGTTGTTATACAGAGAAACCCTGTCTTGACACACAAAAAACACCAAAAACTTATTCTTTGTATAGAAATGTTTTTAACTGAAATGAAGCTGTTCTTTGGATCCTGCTTCTGTAATATTTCAGAATAATATATGTATACATATATATCACATAACACATATATGTAATATATGTACAGTAAATTGCACATATCCTTAGTGTATGTCTTGATGACCTTATGTATATATGTGTCTGTTCTCTCTGCACTGACTTCTAACATACGTGGGTCTCTATGTGTCACCGCTCAGATCCAGCACAGACGTTGCCCTTCACAAGGGTTCCTTGGACTCCCTGCTCTGACACGCCCTCTAGCTCCGTTCTGTTGTCACAGATTAGTTCTGTCACATCAATAGTCTCAGCACATACTCTCTCTGCTTCTTATTTGTGAATGATAGTTCTCTTGCTTTGAGATTCATTAATATTGCTTATTTTGTCTCTCTTAATTGCTGAGCAGTGCCCCATCATGTCTGTGTCTTGTTTAATTGATGTGTGCAATATGGTGTCTTTTTAAACCCAGTCTAGTGATCATTTGTCATATTTTTAGTATCTGAGAAACAGTTTTTGCTGACTATAAAATGCCTAACATGGCTAAGGTATATTTTATAACTACATATCTCATTTTGATCACCTAGGCTGTTTTCTACCCTTCTCCTTGGATTATAAATGAACACTGCAGTAAATACCATTATAAAAATCTTGTTACAGTCTTTTACAAATATTTGTTTTCTATTTTTTTATTTCCTAAATGTACATTATTATAGGAAGAACATTAGAATTAAGAATAATACATTACTCAGTTACATTAAAAGTTTGTCCTAATTTTTTTACAGCATATGAAAATGCATTTTCTGTTTGACAGCTCTGGATTTGAAATATGCTGCTTTGCTTGATTGCTGGCAACTGAAATGGAAAAGTTTTCTTTGACACTGACCGCTACCAAACAGGACTGTTCTCAGATGTTTGCTGCTTTTCCTTTTATTTGTCCATTGATTTGTTTTTATCACATTTCCTGACTAATTTTCAAATATTTGTCTTAACACTATTAGCATTCAGTTTATTTTGTACGTAATTTTTCTTTTATTTTTGTGTCTTGCTTTAGTTTTATTAGCTTTTGATATTTAAAAAGCAGTTTCTTTGTCATTTTTTTTTTTTTTGAGACAGGATTTCTCTGTAGCTTTGGAGCCTGTCCTAGAATTCACTCTGTAGACCAGGCTGGCCTCAAACTCACAGAGATCCACCTGCCTCTGCCTCCTGAGTGCAGGAATTAAAGGTGTGCACCACCACCATCTGGCCTACAATTTCATTATTGTATATAAGAAATTAATTTTGATATGTGATCATGTATTTGTTAGTGTTTTATATATTTATCTGTAGTCTAATTCAGATGTGCAAAGAATATAATTAGTCAATATGTACTTTGATAGTTCATAGTTCCTTGTTTGGTAGTAGAAGATTAGCTGTCCAGATGCTGATTAGCTCCTGCAGAAGTTCCTGCGGGCTCCGTGAGTCACACTTTTACTTAGAAGGTCTCTTAGGCTTTTTCTGTTCTCCCTGCTTTTCAGCGTGTCTCACTTGTGCTAGAAAGGACATGCCTTTTACATGGAAGGCTCTGTGTTGTCCTTTGATGCCTGTTCTATGTGGGCTTCTTACTCACATGAAAGTGATATATGGGATGGTTTCTAACTCAGTCCGCACTGGCCGATGCTTTCAGAGAGCCCTTGCAGTCTCCCTTCCTAACTTGGCTTACACCGTCAGCGGTCCTGACTTTCCTCTCCTTTCCCCCATCACTCCAGTTCTATCCATTTCTCAGCATCTCTATTTCTCACTGCAGCATCCCAAGCAGCCTGCCTGGCTATCAGCTCAGCGTGTACCATACAGTCGCTCTAACCCCACCTTCTTTTCATGATATGTGTGTAGTAATCTTTCTTTAGTCTGGGGTTCCCTAACGTGCATAGAGCTATTTGCTTTGCTACAGTAGACTTGGGTAAGGAGCTCCCAGTCCATTTTATCCATGTAATATATTTCATTTTTAATTTTTAATTTTCCCCTTTTATTTATCTAATTTTGGGGAGAGGGTTGGGAAAGTTTTTCAATATTGGCTAAGCTGACCTTGTACTCTCTATGTAATTCAAGCTGTCTTCCCAAGTGCTAAAATTATAAGCTTGTGTAAGCAGAGACTGCTCGTTCATTTCCCGGCCACCCAGACCCGAATAATCACACAGAAACTATATTAATCCAACACTGCCTGGCTAACAGTTCAGGCATGTTCCTAGCTATCTATTATATCTTAAATAAACCCATTTCTATTAATGTGTGTATCACCGTGAGGCTGTTGCCTCCCAGTGTGTTCCAGTGTCTTTCTCCAGCTACATGTCGTCTCTCTGACTGCACCTACTCTCTCTCTCTCTCTCTCTCTCTCTCTCTCTCTCTGTTTGGATTTCCTGCCTGGCTATATTCTGCTTTGCCATAGGCTGAAGCAGCTTCTTTATTAACCAATGGTAATGAAACATATTCACAGCATATAAAGGGGAATCCTACATCAGGCATGTTGATATCATACCCAGCTCATATTTTCCCCCCTTTTAAAATAGTATAATTGTACAAAATAGCAGATTTTATTATGATATTTTATATGCATATATATATTGTAATTTAATTGCTACCCTTTCTTATCTCCCTTTTCCTTCTTACTGACCCCATTTATTTTCCCAAAGAGTACCTACCCTTCTATGTTTATGTCTTTAAAAAAATTTAAATACAGATTCTGCATATCAGAGTAAACACAGTATATGTCTAAGTCTAGTTTATTTTGTGTAACATGGTGATCTCCCGATCCATTTGTTTTTCTGCAAATGACCTAACTTTGTTCTTTTTTATGGATGAATAAAACTCCATTGTATATATACACCACATTTTCTCATCAGGTTGGCTTTATATCTTGGTTATTGTGAATAATGGAGCAACAAGCATGGATGTACAGCTATCTCTGCCTTGTTGACTTACGTTCTTTGGGTGTATGTTTGGGAATGGTGTTGACCTATTTCCATGGTGGCCAGACTAAGACATTTTCTTTGTATTGTAGTATAATGAGTAGATTCATGACAGTCTTCTTTAAACGTTCTTTTTTTTTACATTTCGATATCTATAATTGTTTATTAAAGTTTTGACTAGTGAATTTATTATTTTCAAATAAATCAATTTGGTACTAAAGCTTTGTATGTGTTTATGTTCTAGAGGCGGCAGTCAGTAAGACGGGTCCAGATATTGAGGAGGTGCCACTTGACAAAGATCTAAGCAGTGGGCTGGGGTGGGGTGGGGGACAGGGACAAAGAGAACCATGTGACTGGATGCATGGAGCAGATGCCTGGCATGTGGCTGCCCTGAGCAGCAGTCTGTGCCTGGAACTGGCACCCAGGAAAGAGGAGGTAGAGGAGGGGCAAGGGTCATGTGACATGGTTTGACTCTCTGTTCTAGGTGTTCTGTTAACTTTTTTCCTTCCTTATAATTCTGAGATCTGATTTGTGTTTGTGTGGGGTAAAGGAGTCGCACTTACCCTTCTCTAAGGACTCCTCTTATCCGTGAGAAGGTCTTTCCTCACACTTCTCCAGTCTTTATGATTTCCCCTGATAACACAGAGGGTCAATAGGTGAGACCCCAGGCTATCACCAGTGTCATCTGGAAAGTTTCCTTCTCCCAAAGGCAGCACTACTCAATAAGCTTTGAAAATTGTGGTTTCACATGTGGCCTCAATTTGCCTGTGACAACTTAAGCTGGAAGCTGTTCTGGGCAATGTGGAGAACTAGAGCAGAGGCAGCTCACTTCCTGTCCAGTTCCAGATTAACTGTAGCTGCTTAAAACAGGGACTGAAAGGCTAAGTCCAAGAAACGTAGTTTACTACGTAAGGTTATGTTAAATAGTAATTAGCTGTTTCCCCTGTTCTTTGTTCTCTGCTGTTGGATGGCTTTGGTTTGACTCATCTAGAGGCCTAAGTAGAATGTTCTTTCCTCTGTTCTGTTTTGTGATGAGTGGAGAGGGATTCATTCTGTACAGACTCCATGATGCACGCTAGATTCTGAACTACTTGTCCCCTGTTAACACCCAAAATGCACGGCAGTGACTGCATCATGTGTTGCTTTTCTTCCTTGTTTGAGAACTTACTTGACATGTTATTAGCAGAAAGCATTTACTTTTCAAATGGCAAACTATAAGTAGATATGCCTAGCCTACATCCCGTGTGTGTCGTGGATAGTTATGAATATGGCCCAGCATGTTTGTAGTTG